AGAGAGAGAGAGAGTGTTTGGGAGATGCTCTGCTGCTGGCTTTGCAGACGGAGGACTGAGACACCAGCCAAGGAATGCAGGCAGCCTCTAGAAGCTAGAGGAGGCAAAGAAACAAATTCTCCTCTAAAGTCTCCAGAAAGAACGCACCCTTGCTGACACCTTGATTTTAAGATTTTTGACCTCCAAAACTATGAGGTAATAAATTTGTGTGGTTTTAAGCCACTAAGCTTTTGGTAAATAGGAAACTAATATAATCATGAAACCACAGCCAACTATTATCCCACTACTGGTAATCAGGGTTGTTTTATTTTCCTGAGAGCGCTTGAGTTGTAAAGTAGCTTTGACCAGTTTCTGAATCTGTTACTCAGAGCCTTTTCACCCAGACCGGTGAGTCATTTCATAGCTCCCCTCCACCGTCACAGATAATTAAACACCAACCACTTAAGAAAGGCCAACTGACAACATGTAGAGATCACTTAGTCCTATCCTTTCCCAGTGTAGGTATTTGAATCATTCTAGATCTAATATGTTTTTCTTTTAAATTTCCTGGCCACTGGTAGAAATGCTTCTCATTTCAAAACCCTTAGAATTAAAAAGTTACCTAAGATCTATAATTCTTTTCGCTATATATTTTTTTTATTCTGCCCTTAGTAGACATAGAAATTGAGAAATGATACTCAGAAGTCCCTTTCAGGTTCTTCTTTTCTTAAATGACTACATTTCCACATTCTTTAATATTTTCTTAGAGGTTTTCAAACCTTTATCTATTATAGCTTGGATGTTTTATTCTATCTTATATTCTGTCTTCCTATGATTTAAAATTTGGACCCCAAAACATGCCAGACAGAATATACTAATCTTTTTTAATAGTGATATACAACATTTGTAAAAGTTGGCTGTGATCTAATAAATAAGATTAGGCAGAGAGGAAGGAGTTTCAATTGAAATGCTGTTCTGGTAACACTTGCTGTGTTACCTTGGACAAATCACATAACTTCTCTGGGTGTGAAGGAAATCATTTATAAAATGAGGAGCTTGGGCTAAATACCAAGAAAAAACCTGAAGTATCATAAAAGAGAGGCACAAAGACTTTTGGTAATTCTACTGAGAAAGTAATCACCATTGATTGGTGCAGCTGATTAAGTGCTACCCATTAGCTACTCCACAAAGGTAACACTAGGGGTATAGAGGCTTGTTTGTAGTTTATCAATCCATGATTTCAAATGTAGCAAGGCTCCACGCAGAAAAAGCCTGAGGGGCTTTTCAGACAGGTTGAGTAATTTCTGGAAGCTAATGTATGAGAGGGCGCACACAGGAGACAAAATGGACAGCCTGGAATACCAAGGCAGTGAAGTGCCCCTGCAGGTTTCTGAAAGCTCTCATGATTTCTGCAGACGATTACAGGAGTCCACTAGCATGTGAATTGTACCTCCTGGTGGTCCTTAGCAAGCTGTGTCATCCATCTCTTTATCCCCAGTGCCCAGGCTCAATAACTGACATTTAATAGTGGCTCACAATATATGTGTTAGATGACTGAGTGAATAAGCCCAACTAGCCTTTCTCATCTTAACTTTACCCTGAGGGCTCTGTCCTGGTGGTGCCATTCACATCTTGTCTTAATGTGAATCGTGCCCCTTGGAGTTATGAAGACAGCAGTTCTGCCTCCTTTCAAGAAAGTCTCGGGGATTGCACTACTGTAGTTTTCTAGACGAGAGATAATGACAGCCAAAACTGGTAGAAACTGTGGCAATCCAAAGGAGAAACAGACGCTAACATAATTTATTTTAGGGTGATTTGGGAGATACACTAAAATACTCTTCACTACTCAAGGTAAAATCTTATGTGATTTATTTCCTGTTTTTCTTTAGAGTAATTCAATAATAATCTGTTACATAAAATTGGAAGGCTTATCATTTATCTCCTGTTAAGCACAAGTCACTGTTATCGTAAACCTCATTCTTCTGTCAAAAATTTCTATTGACCCCATTTTTCTATTTTCGGATCTAGTACTTCGGTTAAAATAAACTATCTACAGCAATATTTTAAGAAATCAGAGAAAAACGACAAAACATCCCAAGGAACTCTGTCATTTTTTAAAAGCATATCATATATGCAAACTTACAAGCATTTTTCTTGAGTCCAATGTCAAAGAAACATTTGCTAAAATTGCACTGACCACTTTGATTTTGATAATTTTTTTTCTAAATATAGTTAAAGTGATGAAGCGAACTAACGTAAAGCAAAAGTCATTTGATTAGTGAAGCAAACATGTGATTCATACTTCAAATGTAGTATTTTGAAGCTATGCCCCTTCTATTAATATTCAAGATTCCATTGTACTTCTTTTCTACAAGAATACATTTGTAAAAAAAAAACCCTAACACTACAATCTTTTTGGAATTATACAGCATATACATAAATTAATAAAATAAAATTCTTCCATTTTAAACATATCAGATGATTAGTATTTAGAAAAACAGACCAAAAACTTATCAAGGAGCATGGTACTAATTTTGCTGGACACTAAACATAAAAGTTAAGGTAGCTTGCTAAAAAAAAAAAAAAAAGAGCTACACTAGATTTATATCTCATATTTAAGTGTATTACCTTGGGTATTAAACATGCTGCTAGCTATCTCTTAATGAGCACCTGAGCTGTCATTTTTAACAACAAGCTGACAATTATCATCTATAAGTTGATAATCCCCTGAAAATCATTTATGCAATATTTAAATTAATATAGTTAAGAATAGAAACTCATTTCCCATTTATTTCTTAAATGTATTATTTTATAATTGGCAAAATCTATAGAAAATTACATGAACATATATTTAAAATAAAAATTAACATATGCCAAAATGCATACACCACTTGAATATGCAACATAACTTGATATAAAATCTTAATAATGCATCTCAGTTGCCCATTGTTGTATAAGGTGGCTTGGTCCATTGAAGCTATATGAGAAAAATATACATATTCAAGATAGACTATAATGAAAAAATAAATAAATAAACCAAGTACTTGGGCCATTTTAATCTCAGTTATTTCTCAATTGAAAGCAGACATGAAAGATGAATACCATAAAAACTCAAATTATTTAATTCATCTAAGTACACATGCCATTAATATGAAATACAAGTAATTACATAACAACCTATTGTAATTCATTGGTTACAGTATTCTAGAAATTCTACTTTATTTTCAAGTACTAGAAATTTTTTTAAATACCTCTTCCACAAAGCTGTCTTTCTTCTCTAGCATTTCTCGTAAAGTCTGAAGAATTTTAATGCACAGTTTTTCTTCTTTCTCCATTAGTTTCTTTGTATGATTAATCAACCTTAAAGCAAAACATCAAACCTTAAATAGGACAGTAATTTCTCTTCAAGCTATATACTAACATCATATGCTGGGTGGGGGGGGGGAATCACACTATTATTTGAGAATATGAAGTAAACAAGATAGATACCTGTTTTCACAAGCTTTAAAATTACATTTTAACTTACAGACATTTTATTATAAAACATCCTTTGTTTTACAGGCAATATATCTCAGGGCTTCTAAATTTATTCAGGTAGCACATTTTCAATGGGACACTACACTCTTTGAAAAACAATGAAACACTGATTATCTTACTAGTAGAGAAATATGAATATTTGCAGAATATTACATTTTATTATGTTATACTATATTATTTTCTATGTACTATGTTACATTAATTATATAGTAGAAGTAGCAGTATATAAATTGCAACCTTAGCATAATGGGCTGTCTTCCAGTTTCCATTAATAATAATGTGCTATTTTTCTCTGCTATGACTTGGTAGAAACAGGCAGTTTTTTGTGATTGGAAGCAAAACAAAAACAAAAGCAAAAAGTAACATTAAGACATCTATCCATTTGCTATGCTTGCTATAATTTGGACAGAAACTCTAATTTTATAGTGGTAACCTTTGCACTGGTGTTCTTTCAGGAGAAGAGTTTGATGATAACAGTTACACAACATCCCCAAGAACCCAAAATCAAGTGAAGTGTTCATCATCAGAATTTATAGCTTAGCATATAAAACTCTGAACCAGCTGGTTCTCAAAATGACCCTGTGAGATAGAAGTCTTCCTGGAAAAACCAAATGATGTAGAATATAATGGAATGATCTAACTTTAGTGACATAACAGAAGTACTGTGGGACAAATCCTGAGGAAAAGTAAGCTTTCACTACGTAATAGCTAGTAAGTGGCTTATCAGGTGTCAGGTAACATACAAGGATTTCCCATGGGTTCTCTTAATTCATCCTCACAAGTCAATGCTACGGGCTCTATTATCAGGCTGATTTTACAGAGGAGAAAAACAGGAGTCCAAAGAGATAAAGCAACTTGCCTCTGGTTACACAATTATTTAAGTGGTGGCATCTGGAAATAGTCCCAGGTCCATCTATCTGACTTCAGAGTCAAGATTCTGAAGCATCACTCTGTGGTGACATGACACAGTTCACTGATCTCTTGAGTCTCAGTTACTGTGAAGAGAGTCCCAACAACAGTAGGTTGCACACAGCCACCTCTTACATGACATGTAAGTGCTACAACACAGGTATTTGTAATGCCACAACCTAGACAAAGAAGCTATTACATTCTGGGGGGGCAGTTGCCTAGGGCCGACAGCGAAGGTTTCAGTGAAGAGATAACATTTAACTATGAAGATTTCACCTGGCAGGGAAAACTGGACAGAGAAGGCATCCTGCAAAGGGAACAGTATGAACAACGGGCAGAGGCAGAAAGCTGACCTCCATGTCCAGGAAATGATAAGTACTCCAACTGGCAGCTGACACTTAAAGATATGGAAGAGGAGAGTATAAGAGATGTGATTTGAAAAGAAGGAACTGGGAATATTATTCTAAAGAGTCTGGACTTTATAGAAAATAGAGAGCCACTGTTTCAAAGGACCTAAATGACCCTGCCTATGTGTGAAAAAGACACCTCGATGGCAGTGGGGACAGTGACACGGAAAAGTGATAACAAGGTAGAAGATGAATAGAGCATATGAGTGGGTGAAGATACAAGAAGCATAGAGAAATAAAATAGCCAAGACGTCACAGCGAAGGAAAACAACAACAAAAAGAAAAAGCAACCTACTGAATGACAGAAGATACTTGCAACAATATATTCGATAAGGGGTTAATATCCAAAATATGTAAACAGTTCATACAATGCAACATCAAAAAACAAACAACACGATTAAAAGATGAGCAGAGGACCTGATTAGATACATCTCCAAAGAAGACACAGGAAAAGATGTTCAACATCACAAATCATCAAAAAAATGCAAATCAACAACACAATGAGATATCACCTAACACCTGTCAGAATGGCTATCATCAAAAAGACAACAAATTACAAGTGTTGAAGAGGATGTGGAGATAAGGGAACCCATGTGCATTGTCGGTGGGATTGAAAATTGGTGCAGCCGAATGGAGTTTCCTCAAAAAATTAAAAATAGAATTACCATATAACCAGAAATGCCACTTTTGGACATTTATCTGAAGAAAATGAAAATACTAATATGAAAAAATATATGCACCCTATGTTCATTGTAGCATTATTTACAACAGCCAAGATATTGAAGCTACCTAGGTATCCACTGATAGTTGAATGGATAAAGAAGATGTGGAATATATATACATGCACAATGGAGTATTACTCAGCCATAAAAAAAGAATGAAATCTTGCCATTTGCGACAACTCAGAGAGTATTATGCTAAGGAAAATAAGTCAGACAAAAGAAGACAAATACCATATGATTTCACTTATATGTGGAATCTAAAAAACAAAACAAATGAGAAAATAAAACAAAACAGAAACAGACTCATAAATACAGAAAACAAACTGATGGTTGCCAGAGGGGAGGGCGGCAGGGAGAAGGGCGAAAAAGATGAAGGGTATTGAGAGGTACAAACTTCTAGTTATAAAATAATTAACTCACAGGGATGTTATGAACAGCACAGGGAAAATGGTCAATAATATCATAATAACTTTTTATGGTGACAGATGGTTACTAGGCTTATTGTGGTGATCATTTCATAAGGTATATAAATGTTGAATCACTATGTTGTACACCTGAAACTAATATATTATATGTCAGCTACACTTTCACAAAAAAAATAATAAAATAAAATGAAATAGACAAGACTTGGTAAATAAAGACATATGGGAAGTGGAAGAAGAGAAAGGCAGATAATAGATGCCTGGAATTTATAGGTTGGGTTAGTAGACGGGCCGTGATACTTTTAAATGATATCTATGTCCTGCTGAAGGAGTGAGGAAAATAGTGAGTTCCTTTTAGACATGTTAAGTCTGAGCAGCATGTTATATCCATGTGGTCAAGTCCAGAAGGCAGAATAGCCGTTCTAACGTTCTCCTGGCAAGGAAAAAAACCTGACTCTAAAACCTCTGCTATTTGGTCCTTCCTTTCACACGATAGTCATTGAATGCATGAAAATAGTTGTAGTTAAGCACTGTAAATTTCTTTTGACTTTTTTTTCTCTGGGTGTTCCCATTTTCTTTAACATGTCTTTAGATCAAATATTTGATTCACTAACCATTTGAAAATATCAAATGGATATATAAGGATGAATGACCACTTGCTAGGGATTTCTTCAATGTGTTCATCTCTTACATAATGTTTGATTGTGTTACATCAGAGGCTTTCAAATTTTTTTCTATGATCTAAGGAAAAAATGTTTCACAAAACAACCCACTATATAAACACTTGTGTGTGATTGTAAAACACAAAAGTTACCTTTACTATATGAGATACACTCTGATATTTTATATTCTTTCCTAATTCATTTTTTTTAATTAATGGTTGTCTGTCCTCCCTATGTAATTTTTCACGTCTACAAATGGATCAAATCCCAGTTTGTAAAACACTGAGATTCTTCTCATAAGTCAGGAGGCGTAAGAGCAGGTTTGAACGGGCCATAATGAGACACCTTAACAGTTAACACCCACATCGACCTATTCTCTGTTTATTCTCTTCTCTCTCACTCTATGTTACTAAGTGGAAATGTGAATTTGGGTTCTTTCCTGGGATCTATCCTTCATGTTATCCAGCAGAACCATCTGAGTCAATAAGTTCCAAGAGTTAAATTCATTAGAGAAAGTTGGAAGCCCCACTTAAGCCCTAGACCTAAACTATATTCTCCAACTAAACTCTACCAGAGAGCTCAGCACAGCAATACATGGCCATTGAGCAGCCGTTAATAAAGTTGGATTCTAATTTCATTAGGTATCCTTGAAGATAAAACCCTTCGTTCTTCACAGAGTTGGAAAAGGAGTAAGATAAGCACTAGGGCAGAAAACAGACATTCCTGAGCCTTTGGCGATAATGTAATCCTAACAGTACAAAAACCTCTTCTCTGACCACTAAAGCAAGTGTGACGCCGTCTTCGTCCATCTGAGTGTAAGATTCGTAATGTAGTCCCACCATCACATCACTCTGCTTCTCTCCTTTTAGTTTACCTGGTGTTGTAACAGACTTCCTCATCTTCAGCACAAGTCAGTATTTTCATAATATTCTGCATTATTTTATATGACCTTCTCATAGACCTATATCTTAAAGTTCTAAACCAGTGTTGTCCAACAGAACTTTTTCTGTGACTATTGAAATGTTCTGTATCTGTGCTGTCGTGTTTGTTAGCTGCTAGCCACATATGGCTATTGAGCATTTAAAATGTGGCAAACGTGACTGAGGAACTGAATATTTTATTTTTATTAAGTTTAAGTTTAAGTTTAAATAGCCATGTGTATCTACAGCTACTGTATTGACAGCCTAGTTCTTAACACTGAGTCAGCAAACTTTTTTTCTAAAGGGCCAAATAGTAAATGTTTTAGGTTTTGTGGGCCATACAGACTAGGCAACCAGTAGACTCTGCCATAGTAGTATGAAAGCAACCACAGACAATGTGTACATAAATGTGTGTGATTGTGTTTCAATAAAACTTTATTTGCAAAAATAATCAAACGGGCCAGTTTAGCCTACAGGCTAGAGTTTGCCAATCCCTGTTCTAGACTCTGGGATATATCTATAGTATCATATTAATTTTCTGGAGTTAAGTCTCAGGTTTATGATCCATTTTTTAACCCATATCCTATACACTGATATATAATATATTCATTGGAGGTAAATGGTAGTTTTCAAAGACTTTATTTTTATACTGAATTACTAGGCAATACTTCTACTTACTATTTTTTTTTCCTACTGGCCTCCATAGTCAGATTTACAGACACTCTGGACCTCTTCATTTAAAAATTCTTACTAGAAGACTAGAGAGTCTTCTAATACAAATGAGAACAGTAGTTCTGGAGTGTACAACTTATCAACCAATACTGGCAAATGCCCAAACAAATACATCCTTCCGAGGCCCCTTAAAATATACTGAGTCTACAGCCAACAACCCATGATTCTGGCCATAATATAGAAACTCCCCATCACCATCATCCCTGTAGTCAGTTCTTGTTTTCTCTCCCAAATCCCAGCTTTAACTGGTAAAAGAAAGGAACATACTCTTGTGTCCCCTAATCCTTCAATTTCTGCCTCAGTACATCATAGACTTCTTTCAACAATATCCTCAGTCACACAGGAAGTGGCTATGATGGGTGGTGGTCAAAGGGGTTGGCAGCATCCTGCGTTTCTCCATCCAAATACTCTCCCCAAGGAAACTAGGTATCTTTGACGGGCCATCTTAAGTCTACATGTGCTTACTTGTACATTATTCAGTAAAGTGCCCTCCATGTTAAGACATGTCTCTTCTTTCTGAGGCTAGTTACACTTTTTCCCACAAATGTTTATACTTACAGATCTTCCATGAAAAATTTTCACTCACCATTAAAATGAAAATATTCTAGGATAGACATATTAACTATAACAGATCTGACAAAACCACAAAAATGCTACGAAAAATAAGTAATTGAGAGAGCTGCAGAGAAGGATCATCAAAGCAGCATGGCAGAGTGCTGAGTCGGAGCCCTAACAGCTGAAGCATGCCTGAATCTCAGTTTTCTCATCTGTAAAATGAGGCTGACCTCTCAACCTCGCAGAGCGTTTGTGTAGATTAGATAAAATAGGTAAATACACATAGGGCAATAATGCACACAGTAGGACCTCAACATTTCACAGGAAGACCTCAATAAATGTTAGCTCCATTTTCTTTCTCTCTGTGTTAATGAAAGCCAGTGACTTTAACCAGGAATCTTTTCAAGGGTCACACCATATAGTTATAGAAAAGAACCAGAACCAAAATATTTTGTGCCCAATAATAACACATTTCATTTTCAGTAAATTTTAGTAAAATATGATGTCCTTCACCAGAATAAAATTTCAATTGAATCCAATTCATTAGTTTGGAAGTTTTTTTACCATTGATTTTTTACCATGAATTTTAGGCCTTTCACATACTCTGCAGACTGTCGTTATGGGCCAGCAGAGTAAACGGCAGACATGGAGAGAGGCCATCTTAGCTTGGTAACCCTAACAGAATCTCAGATTGCACCCACTTACTTGGACATGAAAGCCCCACATCGTATTCTTGCATCAGTCCCCTCAGGGAACAGAAGTTCTGGACTGTACAGCACATCAACCAACACTGAGAATTCAGCCTGCATCATCGGGCTGAATTGTTGCTCCAAGGAGGCCACCACATCCTAAGGAAGAAAGCACAAGGAACCCATTTGAAGACCTAAGTCCAATTTCATCCTTTGAAGGTATGACAAGCCTAAGAGTACTAAGCAGGAATGAGATGTGACAATTTCGGAGAAGATGTACACCATCTTCCCACGGCACCATTGTCTGTCCTTTAAGTATAGACTGGTTTTCTGTATAAATACTGTCTGGGTCTCCTTTTTCATTTATAAGATAAGGACAGAATGGGTAGCTCTATGACTTCTAAGGGTGTCCACACAAGATGAAAAGTCAAAAAAGCCACCATGACAGGCCCTGCAGTGTCTAGGATTGTAATGGAGACATGACAAGTATTCATCAAACTGTAATAATTTGGGGTATGATGTGGAAGAGTTATAAAGAAAAAGATTTTATATGTGTTACTGGTTACTGGAACTAAGTATTTCTTCCAATGGGGAAATTCCTTGATATATTATTTGAAGCAGTATTAGTGCTATGCAAAGATTCAATGACACTTAATAGTATTGGAAGTTACATTTTTTGACAGACACTATTGATCACCGACCCAACAGCCTTTGTTCACCCTCTTCCTTGCTAAGAGCATTCTCATATTTGTTTCTGAACAGCATTCTCAGAGAGATAAACCTTCTTCTGCTTAGGGTCAAAGGTTGATTAGTTGAAGCCAATCATGGTCACTCCATTTGCCGTGCCAGGGATTGGTCTAGGCATGATTATGTGACACAGTCCTGGCCAATAAGACATTAGGTAAAGTCTGCTGAGCATGTGGGGCTGTGTGTTGGGAAATAAGGGGGAAGATTCCTTTGAAACCACCTATGGCTATCAAGACAACATGGAGTGTGAATCCAAAATGTGAGGCAGCTCTCACGTGACCTTGGGAGACCAGCTTTTAAGCTGAAAGCCAACAACAGACCCTTACCTATTGAGCTGCTGAATTAACCACCGCAGGAAGAGTCCCAACTCCAGATTCCCTGCTATGTGAAATATATTTTTATTGTTAAAGCCACTATTAGTTGAATATTGTGTTAATTATAGCTGAAAGCATCCTGACATGTTTTTAAAATGAACTATATGCAATGATAATTTACTGAGCATTCTTTAATGATTAAAGCATCCCCTTTTTGTTTTTAAAATAACTATGTTAGAAGCCAAAAATAATCTCACATAAAGAAATACTTTATTCACCCATAGCTATGAGATCTTTTGTTAAGCAGAAAACTGACTGACAATTGCTTATTGTTACTCTCAGCTACAGCAACACAGATGGGGGTACCATCTCTCTTGATTTCTTAAGCAGGCTTCAGGAGCTAACTCTTGTTTAATGTTTTCTTTCCCTTTTAACAAAAGTGATCATTTCTATTTCAACTTCTCTAAATAAGTTTTCAAAGAAATTTCCGAAGAAAGTTAAAAGCGACTACAGGAATAAAATAGTTTAAGTGGGAAACTATATATTTTATAAAGATGGGAAGAGAATATGCTTATCAAATATGACCATATTTCATAAAATGTCCCTAAAACATTCTATTTTTCAGAATACCTCTCTTCTTCATTTCATTTACTAAACAAATTGTGCACAGGCTTCTGTGATGTGAATTCTGTCTTCATCTCTTATTTTGATTATGGGCCAACTATGTCATCTCTCTAATTCATTATTTCCCCATGTAAAAACTCAGGATAATGACACTAGCAATCACGTGGGCTTGCTGTGAAGATTAAAGGTAAACACACGGAACAGCCTCTAACACATACTGGCCACTTATTATTCCTTAATAAATGTTAGTAATCATTATGATTGAGTACCAGTTAACTGCAATCATCGCGCTGTAGCCACATCCAGTGGTTACGTTTCTGTCCTCACTTTACCCAACCAGTAAGCATTTTACACGCTTGTTCCTACTTTGTCAAACACTTCCTGCTCTTGGCTTCTGGAACATCACACAGTTTCTTTATTTCCCATCCATGTCCTCACCATTCTTTTGCCAACTACCGGTAGTTCCTGGTCTTTTCTATATCTACACTTTCTTGTGAGGATCTCATCCAATTCCATGGTTTTAATATCTCATGTATGCTAAAAATTCCTACATTTATATTTCCTGTACAGACATCTTTCCGAACTACTCCAGGCTCATATATCCAACTGCCTATTTAACATATCCACATTGATAAATAGGTATCTTAAATTTAAAATTGTCTACATAGAACTCCTGATTCCAACTCTCCCATTCTTCTTTATCTTAGCAAATGAGCCGATCATATCATACCCAGACTCATCCTTGATTCCTCTTTCCATCCCCACAACTCATCCATTCATTTACCAAGTCCTGTTGGCCCTGCAACCAAATAGATCCCAAACTTATCCACTTCCTTGGTATTATTGCTACCCACTTAAGCCCAGTCACCATCACCTTTTGCCTGCATTAATGTGATAGACTCATGACTTCATGTCTGGACCCTACAAACCATTCACCACTCACAATCCACAGTGATCTTTTAAAAGGTAAACCAAGTTATGCCTATCCTCTGCTGAAAATCTCCAATGACTTGCCTCCTCACTTAGAATAAAACCCAAATGCCTTACCATGTAAGTCTCCACTTGTTTCATAATACTTTGCTCACTAAACTCCTGCCCCAATGGGCTTCTCTGGGTCCCTCAAACCCACCAACCTTGTTCCTGCCTAAGCACTATTGTATTTACTTTCCCATCCCCTAAAACTCTCTGTCCTCAACACTCTGGATAGATTATTCCTCTTCAGGATTATTATTCAGGATAGATTATTCAGGTCTCAACTCAAATGTCACCTCTATAATAGAGAGGTGCTCCCGAACTATAAGATCATTCTTGCAATGATTCTCCACTATGTTGCTACCCAGATTTATTTATTCATGGCAGTTTTAATGATCTAATATTATATCATGTATGTAATGGGTTAGAATATGTGTTCCATGAGGCCATAGACGTCATGGCTCTATATCCAGCACACAGTGGTTGATACAGAGTTTTCACCAGTACATACTCATTTAATGAATGGCAACGCTAAAACAAGTTTAGGTGTACCCACTCTATGCTGGTCGACACTACTATCTACCTCTCCTCTGAAACGCTCTACTTATTTGGCTCTCATAAACCTGACTCCCCTCTTTCCTGACCCTGCCTTTTTTCTCTCTTATTTGGCCATTCTGCCATTACTGGTCTCTTACAAGACGTTTGTGTGTGTGTGTGTCACTTTATTCCAACCACTCTTCTCACTCCATCATTTCTAAACAGACTTAACTTTGATATATTCAGTAGCCTGTTAACCTAATTCAGCTTATTTTCAATGACCATAGCTAATATCCTTCTACTTTATTTTCTCCTTCCCTCTTACAATAAAGTCTTAATAATATCACCTCGTCTCCAATCATTAGCGCCTCTTAAATGCCTCTAATGCCCTCCCTGTATCCTCATCCAGCAGCCACCAAGTATGTGGAGACGGCTTTCATTCTTGTACATAACGCCTGTTTCTTCATTTTATTCATACTGCCACCTGGCTACGTAAGATCTTCAGTAATTCCTAATAATCTGCCTTCCTCTAGTCTCTTCCTGATAATTCTATTTTACAAACCAAGAATTGCTTAATCACTTATACTGATGTTTTCCCCTCAAATTTTAATAACTTATAGCCTTCAAGTTCCTCATACTGAGTCTAACCTGTCTTTTTAATCACCTGTAACGCTCATCTATTAAAATGCTGAACCTCCAGCAATTAATCCACACATGACCTCTCATAATACTTATTCCTGTTCATGTCTTGATCATTTCCTCAAAACCTTACCCTAATTTGCTCCATGAAGTCTTCTATAATTATGTGGGTGGGAAGATGTCTGTTATGGATTGAATTGTGTCTCCCTCAAAACTCGTATATTGAAGTCCTAACCCCCAACACTTCAGAATGTGACTATAATTGGAGACAGAGCCTTTATAGACGTAATTAAGATAAAATGAATTCATATGAGTGGGCTCTAATCAAATATGACTGGTGTCCTTATAAGAAGAGGCTATTAGGATACAGACAAAGAGGAAAGGCCATATGAAAACACAATAGCAAGGCAGCTGTCTGCAAGCCAAGGAGAGAGGC